CAAACTCAGCTGAAGAGCAAGACCCTCTCGACTCAACTAGACTGATTTACAGGCCTTGGGTTCCAGGTTCAGTATTGTCACTAGTTTATTCTGTGATTCAGGTGTGGATTTGTCCTTCTGTCTGTCTGTGATCCTGGGCTACATTCCAGCCCAATTCTGGTGTTCTAAGCATGGTTTGTGAAAAGATAATAATAATCTAACCTATCTCAAGGACATTAAGAGAAAACAAAATAATGCATGTGGAAATCCTTTGAAAAGATGAAAGGCCAAAGACAAGTGTGAATTTAAGACCAAACTGGAGTCACATAGTGAGACTCTTATTTTCATAAGGGTCTGAAATGTCTCAACTTTTTGTTTCTAAGGTCAAGCTGGAAAAAGTTCCCCATTTTCTTTGAAACAGTTTAAACAGGAGACAAAGCATCTCAGTTTGATTTTTCCCTGTTTCAAGCATGTGGATTGAAGAAGCCTTTTGTTGGCCAGTTGGCACTTCATAAAGTTGAAACAGGAAATCTGAATTCTACCCAAGTCAAGGATGGGAAGATGGGAAGAATATTGATATCACTTCCTGGTTTCCAAAGGGACTAAAAATAGCTACAATTACATAACCACTTAGACACCTGTGAGGAAGCAGGTTTGGTTTGAGACTATGTGAGACAGGGGTGACTTGATGCTACCTAAAGCCAGTCTAGAGTCACAAATGTTGAAGCAGAAGATACACTGCTTTTTTCCAAGCATAAAAGACAACATATTAGTGATCTTGCCACCCTGGAGACTTAACCTTCATGAAGTTTCCTTTGCCTGGGAGAGTCCTGCCTCTTGGATTTATTGTCCTGTTTTACAGGGGTGTTTTCTAGGGATGCCTTTCCAGCCTTTCTACATCAGCCCAGAGTAAAAACTTAGAGCATTATGCACTTTTCCATCATAAGCATTAATCATAGGGATGTCAATTCATTATTTTGACTGTTTAGTTGTCTATTGTATCCCACTAGCTCTCCAATAAGCTCCCAGAGGACAGGGAGAGACCTGATTTCATAACATCCCCAGAGTGGGACAGAGTGTATAGCTCAGAGAAGGGGACCATATTAAATATTTATTGAATGAGTGATGGAAGAAATATGATCTGAAAAGAACCCTACAGCAGATTATCCCAGCACACAAATCATTTCTAAGTAGGTACATTTATGCAAATATACATAAAGCCTTAATTATTATTCAGGGAGGACTTATTACAAATGAAGGAAGCCACAAAATGAGGTAATAAAAATTATAATATAGCATTAATAATAAGGAACCATGCTTTACATCCTGAGTAAGAGGTTCTTATAGACTAGATCATTTACAAGATCCCAACTGCTCATGTTTCCACATTTTGAAAAAGAGATATGAAAAGGCGAGGGCTGTTGTGTCTTGGGCCTAAAAGGATGAGCCCATGTCAGCAATCAGGGAGGAATTTTCTTTCGGGACAGTGTGATGTGCTAGAATAGGTTTCATGACGGAGCCACTTGGTTTTTCTCAAGCTAGGACAGCTCACAGGAACACAGGTAAAATATCAACCAGGCTTGCCGTGTTCTGTTTACTTCTGTTATGAAAAGTTTTGGTCTAAAGGGGATTACTTTGGCACTAATCCTTTCAGGAAGAGAAAGTTTTCAAAAATATCATTCAAATATTACAACAATGTAAAGAAGTTAATTTTTTAGCCAGAATCTTACTATATAGCCCCAGATTGGCCTTGAACTCACAATCTTCCTGTGTCTGCCTCCCAAATGCACCTGTAAGCATACACCACCATGACCAGCTGAGCACCTGTTCTTAATTTGTATATGTGTGCATGTTTGTGTGTACATGTGCATGCACATGTGTGATGGTGAATATGGAGGTAGAGGTCAATAATAGGTGTTCTCCTCAATTGTTGTTCACCTTATTTTTTAAGACAGGGTTTCTCACTGAACATGGAGCTCAATGACCAGCAAACCCCCAGGGATCTGCCTGTCATCACCTGTCAGCACTGGAACTGCAGACATGCGCTGCCACACCCAGCTTTTTATGTGGCCGCTGGGGATCCAAACTCAGTTCTTCATGCTTGTACTGCAAGTGCTTTACCAACTAGGCCACCTCCCCAGGCCCTCAAGTTCTTACGTTTTTATCAAGCTATATTCCAATAGACAATGCTTTTTGGAAAAAGTCAGTCACTATCTGTTTTCTCCCTTGCTCACACTCATTAACACAATTTGGTACAATTTTTAACAAAAAGCAGTGAGAATTTTTCCCCCTATGGAACATATAATTGAATTTTATCTTGCTCACTAAGTGGCTTCCCCCATTCATTTGTATGTTAGATATAAAGAAAAGAATGCTGAGTAATGAAGACCATGGCTCTTCTGGGGTTTTAAAAGCTATAAGATTTCTTTTCTTTTCTTTTTTCTTTCCTTTAAAGGGTTGCACACAATAAATTGTACTGAAAATAAAAATGGATTAAGTGAAACAGAGAGATCTGAGAATAAAGAGGCACCAGTTTCTGGTGAACAATGCTCTGGGTCTATCAATTTAGAAAGCAAAAAATCAAAATATCTATTCCATACTCACTTTGAAGACCTCATTTTTTATTTCATATCACACCTGTGTTCTTCAACTGTGTCCAAATATTCTGCAGACAAATTCTAACTCACTAAAAGCAGGGAGAAATAAAACAATTTAAATACCGTTGTTAAGTATCTGCTACCAAACCTTAGATATGAGTTCAATTCCCAAGACCCATATAGTGGAAGGAGAAAACTGACTCCCAAAGTGCATCGCTCCCCCAAACACACACAAACTAAATACATAAAATGTACTCTAAAAATAAGTTTTTAGATGCTATTTAGTGATTATTTCAAAGCACCAAGCAGACCACTTTGTCTCACCAGCCATGCAAATCCCATCTCCCCTTGTATTCTGCCATGGCTGGCAGAAACCCTTTAGGTTTTAACCTAGAATCCTAAAAGCCCAAAGAGGGCTTTGCATTTCTTTCCATTTCCTACTCCAAATCCATCTCATCCATCTCTGCCCTTATCCCTGAGACTGAAATTCATCAGTTTTATTTTTGCTTTGGGAAAGTCTTGAGGAAGAAATTTACCATTCACTCCCTTCTGAAAAATCTCTCTCTTACTTTGCTCAGTTGAAACTGGAGTGCAGAACTGGGGTCACTCCATACTTGAGAGGCATCAGTTTTTAAATTTTATTTTCTCTATTATGGTGACCATCTAGCAGGGTTCCCTGGATAAAGAGCATATTCAGTATATACTTTCAATGTAAATCCAGCAAAAAAAAAATGGGTGAATGCAAGAATAATACAACTTCCACTGTATCAAAATGAGTTACTTATGTCTCCCTATTTGACTGCAGGTTGAAAGCACTATCAGTCAAACCTCGGGCTACAGACTTGGGCTCAAGCCTTGCTACAGATCACTGCCAGAGAGATGCTTTGGCTTCACAAGAGCTTAGAAAGACCCTGTGCTCAAGGGAGCTTCACAGTCTGAGTGACACTTCGAAGCTTCTCCCTGAAGAGCAAGCGTTATTTGGAATGGGAAGCAAACTAAAGTGCCGTTCCGGCACCACAAGAGTTTCATTTAGGCGGGGCAAAGGCCAGCTCAATCAAGCCGGGCTCTCCCATCCCAGTTTTCTTGATCCATTTCCCTATTCAGGAGAGAAAATTTGGCTTTTATCCTATTGACCCGTAGTTGAGTCTTGTGTTTCTGTATGTTTTTTGGCTTTTACTGTTTTCGCACAATGACCTTGACATTTCCCCTCTGGTTTTTCTCCCTCCTGTGTGGCAGAAGGATACGAGGCATGACACTGTTTTATAAGGCCTCGAAGTGGCTTTTTCAGGGGCTCTACCACCCAGCAGGCGTGCCCATGGGCCAGAGACCAAGCAACTACCATGCGTCTGGTTTTAAGAGGCTTTAGGGGAGGGGAGGTGACTTCAAGGCAAGGTAAACTGTTCCAAGTGCTAAGAGGAAGCACAGACTTCTTTTAAAAGACAAACTTTGCAAACAAGAACAACCTTGAAAGAGACCTTCAGATCCATGCTCGGGAATTTTGCCAACCTCTTACAGCTCCCCTTCGACATGTTAACTGTATTGCACCCCGCAACTCAAATCCCTGATCTCCACTTTGGGTGAGTGTACGGGGGGTGGGGGTAGGGTCGAGTGAGCCTCCTGGAGAAATAAGGGTCTTCTTTCTTCTCCTTGGTCCACTAGGGTCACCTCCACGGAGAGTTTCTCTGTCCCTCTGGAGCTACTACTGTGGCAGTGACTTATGCTTCTCCAGTGAATTCTCTTACCTGTTCTAGAGGTTTTCTGGGGTCCCCAGCAACCTGGACCTACCGGTCAGCAGAACTGTCCATTGGTTCCCTACCCCCCAAAGTCTAGGACAGCAGTGGGGCCGCACTGGCCATTAATGACCATCATCCATTTTTAATCAGAAAGATCACAAGAAGGTAAGCGAAACCCAGTCTCGAGTCCATTTAAATAACATTCCTGGGGAAATCCAATCACTTAGAACTGAGACACCTACGCGAGTGAGAGCGAGAGAGCCCCCGCCCGTCAGGCGGGGAAGAGCGCGCCGGCTGAATTAATCGAGATCAAGGGGCTCCTGGGCACCGAGCGAGCTTTAACCCTTCCGGCGCCGCGGGGTACGGAGGTGCGGGGAGGAAGAGAGCGGCCGGCCACGGCCAAGATGCCCAAGGTTGCCCTGCGCAGGCCACCTCTGCGGATCGGGCGACTCCGGACGCCTCGCGTGGGTCCCGGGTGGCGGGGCGGCCGGGCTTGAGGTCGCCAGCTCCCGAGGCGACTCGGGCGGTGAGCAGCAGCCGCCTCCCGCGGCCTGGGCGCGCCCCGGGCTCCTCCTCCCACCCCAGCGTGGCCCGGCGAGCCCCGCTCCGGCCGCAGGTAGCACAGGCTGCGCGCGCTGGACGCACCGCAGCGCAGGCAGCGG